TTTTTTTTGCCTAGGGCCACGTGTTCCGCACCCCGCGCAACAATTGCGTTTTTCCGAAAAGCGTGGGAGCGGCCCATTTTCGCGTTTAACGCGAATTCAACGGGATTTTTTGGAGTTTAACGGGATTCAACGGGAGTTTAATTCCCCCGTTCTGCGTTAAAAAGGTACACAGCTGCTGGGGTCATACTATGGACGAGGTGCTGGCAGTATCATTTGGCGCATGCGATACTATGTATGCTAGAACACCGCCGAAAAAAAAAACAACAAAAAAAGAACAAAAAAAACAAAGAACAAAAAAAAAAAAAAGTCAAGCCCATGTGACTGAATAGTACACCCATATCCAGCGGCCTATCTCAGTTGGTAATGGCTTGCAAATGATACACAACAAGAGGAGTAGTGGTGTTGCAAACAGAAGATAAACTTGTCCCTACCGTCTTCCCCCGAACACAACGCACCCTCATTTTGACTGCATCGGGCCCAAAACATGCCTTGCATACGTTCATTTTCAGGGTGCGTTATGTTCGGGGGAAGACGGTAGCAACGAAGGTGGAACAATGGGAACAAAGGAAACTGGAGAGTCTGTTCGCAAGCAAGACCGTGGAGGAGATGGGGGTGATGAGGAGGAACGCAGTCGTCTACGGCCAAGCACAGACAAAGATGAGAGGGGGGTGGATTGGGCAAGATTTGGGAGTAAAGGACGTGAGCGTTGGAGAGAGTGTGATGTATCCAGGATGGGTTCTTTTTGGTACTTTTTGGTTCTTTTCTTGATTTCTTTGCAGACAAGGTTTTGGCATCCTGGTTGATCTTGTCCCGTCGTTTGGCCTGTGGGCAGGGGTGGTGCTTGCATGTGGGACTTGTCATCTGGGATCTGTTTTGTTGCCCCCTGTTCTGTCTGTTTTATTTGGCTGTTCCCTTCCTCTCTTCTTTGCCTGTTTGCCTTTTGGCTGTGTGCACGGGGGTGGGGGCAGCCGCCGCTCAACCTACATCCTCGTGGGCGGCCTTGTACACAAGAGGTTCTGAACAGGGGGAGTTGTAAGAAAGAAGATATAAAAAAACGAATTTTCTTTTGTTTTCCTTGTTTTCTTTCTGTTTTTTAAACGGAACCATACAGTAGGTCCGCAAATATATATATAGGGCTCAGCCTCCTGATGAGTCAGCGAAACTCTGACAAAACAGTTTGTCACAGCCCCTCGTTGTTGTCCTCTTCTCCCTCTCTGCCTATGGTTTACCGGGCAGCTCTGTTTGCCTACATACATATATAACTCAACAGGTCAAAGTGTCGGATTGTGAATTTGAAAACACAGGTTCGCCTCTTGCAGCCAAGTCATGGTGAGCCTAAGGGAAAAAGAATTAGCTCAGCCTTCTTCCTTTTTTCGGGGATTTTGTTAAAGGGGTAGTCCCTAACTTTGTGGTCATCTGGTGTCAAACAAATTTCACGTTCCCAAACATTTGTCAGGCTTCTGAGAGTTCTGCTAATACTCACATCTGATCTCTGGTTGCAGCAGCCTCGTCTTCTAAGATGGTTTGCCTCTCTTGCTGGTATAATCTTTCTGCCTCTGCCTCCATGCTTGACAAGGCACCGTCCACCTACACAATTGCACAATCGACATGTTGGATGATCAGGGAGCACTACTCTCCAGCATGCGCCATTCATGGATGCCAATCACCGAAATCGCAGCGCAGCGCCGTATAATCCTATGTGATGGCGGCATAGTGCAACTTACGAGTCTAGACGCGATGGTAACCCGTACATATTCAGGTGACGATGGTAGTTACAAATGTGGGTCATATAATCCTCCACGATGCCAGAGTACTCGTTATTGCTGCCGTTATTGCTGCCGTTATTGCTGCCGTTATTGCTGCCATCCTCACCCAAGTACATAGCTACATTTGGGGCAACTTTGAGTCTAGACACAGCGATAACAACCGGGCGACGGGCGAACTATTTAGGTGAAGATGGTAGTTACGAAAGCAGATCCAAGTTTTTTATCACACCGCTTTCCAGCAATCCAACAGCACAATACAGGAATCGAGTCAATCGACTGACAAAAGGTCACACAATTTGCTGCCAGAATCAAACGTTGTAAGCCTCCTGAATTCTTAGCTGAAATTCTTATAGATTGTTCTTAGTCGAAACCTGTAGTTATCTTTGGTTTTCTTAAATTTCTCCTGAACTCTTGTCGTGGTTCTCAGATTAATTCTCAAGATTGTTCTTAGCCGAAGCCAGGTAATGGCCCTGGTAAAACAAAAAACAAAAAAACAAAAAAAACAAAAAAAAAAGTTTATAAAGGGAAGGGTCTTCGATATCGAAATGAGATTATACTCATCTACGCAGGGACCGATTCTTGCTGTTGTGCATGACGGCGCGGCAAGGTCGTTACAAAAGAGGATCCAAGTTGAAAAGCACCCACTACTACCATACTCTGCATCAGTGGCCTCAATACCACGCTCTAGAATGACGTCCTTGCGATAGACAGACCGTACAAGTCTTGGAGGAGGAGAAGGAACGTACAAAACAGGGCCGAAGGTCCGTTTCGCCTTGGGGAAAACCACTGCCAAAGGTGGATTTGAAACACTAGTAAATGGCGTAAATGGCTCGTTTTCTTCTTCCTGCTTTGCCTCTACACACATGCCTTCTACCTCTCGCCTCCAAGCCCAACGTGGGCTCAGCTACTCTACACCGAAGCTAACCCTTCCTCCTACTACCGTCTTCACCCCAATAGAACGCCCCGTAATTATCCCCGTATCTGGGCAGAAAGTTGTGCCAAATACCGCTATCATGACCGGGCGTTCTATTCCGGTGAAGACGGTAGTTCCTCCTTCACCTCCATAGACACGAAGATCCCTCTCGATGTCCATCACAACTCCCATCTGCTCCGCGTTCACCACCCGCAGACCACGGCACCACTACACTGCCAGAAAAGTGAGTGCAAATGGACCGCTCACTACACTGCGCCGATGCCCTAGCTCCTCCTCCTTCAGTTGGTCCTGGTCCACGCATCTAGACCTAAACCTAGCCCAGATTCAATCCAGTGCCATCATTATACCAACTGCTAATCCTAATGCAGAGCAGTCCGCTCCATCTTCCGTACAATCCTTACCAGTCCCCTACATTTTCACCTACCAGTCTTTCTTGTCCGTCCTACTTTTCTGCAAAAGCCCAACTGCCCTCAAATTCCCATCCTACCATTGCGCCTAAAACTATTCACAGTTCTACCCCTCCCGAGGCTGAGCACAACGACGCCGGCAAACACAAGGTTTAGTAAATCCCCAGATGCTCTGACATGCGCAACCACATCAATACTTAGCAGCAGAAAGAAAGCCATGCATTCACGCACGGACAAGCTGGAAACAACCCCCTCCCAACCCCCTCCCTGAGCCCACCCACTAATGTCTTTGTCAGCATGCACCGGTTGTGGGGGTGGTGATAGAGTGCACACCTCGTGCTGATGTGTCTCAATGAGATCCAACTGCTGCTCCATGATCTGCTGGCTCTCCACTACTCTTGCTACCTCCCCCTGGGGATCACGCTCACACAAAAAGACAGGACCACACAAACACTTAGCGTAGCATAGCCACAGCGCACATAAAACAACAAAATCGTGAACAGCGTGAAAGGAGCACACGTTAACAGCAGCCGCCTTCACAAAGGAAATCCATCAGTAACAACAAATGTGTGATATATTGCCCGCCATAGACAGGCCCGATACCACACCTACCTTTTCTTTCTCCCCCAAGCACAACGTGCAGCATCATTATAACCACGTATTCAACAGTTCGAAACTCAAACAGTAGAAACGGTAGAAAGAGTAGAAACAGTTGAAACAGTAGAAACAGTCGGAAGAGTAGAAACAGTTGAAAGAGTAGAAACAGTTGAAAGAGTAGAAACAGTTGAAGACTTGAAGAGTCGGAGAGTTTTACAGATGTCTACTGTATAATGCCATCCAAAAAACACCCTCATCATGACCGTGTATTGGACGGGACAGATAGCTTTTCTCTACACGCATGATCACATTGTGTTGTCCTCAGGGTACGCAATTCAAATTTCAAAGGCCAATCTTTGCAAGGCAACGAGTAGAATCCACAAGGCCATTATGTGAAGCTCGTCAACAGCAAAAATCTACTGCACAGTGTCGTCCAGCAAACATTCCTATACATCATGCCCGTGTAGAATCCACAAGGCAGCGACGTCGCTGCACATGTTGCAAGCGAGGGACTTGTTTTAAAGCACAGCTTAGCCTCTGGTGGAATACGTTACTCGTAGTAATCTTCTTACACGTGCATTCCGGATAACTGGAGACAGCAATTACCACCGTCTTCACCCGAATAGAACGCCCGGTTATTATAGCTGCATTTGGTGCAACTTTCAGTCCGGATACGGCGTTAATTACCAGGTGTTCTATTCGGGTGAAGACGGTAGTCTGTGTGATAAATAGAGGTACAACAACGTCATTCGGCCGCTCGTTTGCTGGAAAGGGAAGAGAGAGGAACATCTTAGACAACAATGGGAGAAGTTACCTCTAATCTTAGAAGTACATTTCGATTGCTCAGGATGCGCCGGTCCCATTCGCTGAGTGCCTCAGCCTGCTGACGAAACTTCGCACACCGCTCCTCAAGCTCCTCATTCCATGCATTGATTATCTGAATCAACATGCAGCCATTGCAATACCTTTTAGGTTTTACTCTTTTTCCGTTTTGGTTTGGGTTGGGTTTAGTTTTGGTTTGGTTTGGTTTTGTTTTGTTTGGCTTGACTGGGGATCCTCAACTGCCAGGAGATCTACAATTATGCGCCCTACCATAATGACAGGTGGGAGCGGGGTCCAAGGCCCTCCTCTCCCTGTGCGTGCATCTATCACCACATGTTATGCATGCATGCATGCATACATTCATACATACGTACATGCATGTAGACATACACATACATTCATACATACATACATGCGTACGCTACATACATGCATGCATAAATACATACATTCATACATACGTACATGCATGCATACAGACAGACAGACAGACAGACAGACAGACAGACAGACGGGCAGACCGACCGCTGATCTATGTCGGACTTCAAATCTTGGGGGTTCACCGTATATCCTACTGCTACACACCCGGTTTAAACTACCAGTACATCCAATTGAGCTTCTCCTGAAAATTTGGCAACCGTGTATTGTCGATAAAATGAATCGGTGGTTCATGGCCTCCTATTTTTTAGGAGAGGCTCAGTCTTCTTTTTCAGATCTACACGGGTTTAAAGCAAGATTAACCACAAGGTTATTGAGATGATTGACAGCGCTTTCGCACTACTGCGGAATCGTCGCACAAGGGAATTCTATCGAGCTGACCTCTACCGAAAACTACTTGCCTTGCAGTTAGTTCTGCACAACAAGATTTGAATTTTATCGATTTTCTCATGTAAAAAAGGGGAAACAAAAGGAAGGGGGTTGCGGTGCGGGGGTAACCCTACTAGCCCCTAGCAACGTTGTCGTATTCATCCAACAGGATTTTTTTATTTTATTTTTTTCCCCAAACCCATGACCTGTTTTTGTTACTAATAGTTACATGTCCCCACCAAAAGATGGAGTAACCTGGGAGACTCTGGTAGGGGAGGAGGATGCCTGTATCGATTCCCCAAATAGAGCCTGCTGGTTTTCCTTTAAAATAAAATAAAATAAAAAACTAATAGTTACATGTGTGTGTGGTACTGTGTACTATTCACCCACAGATTTCCTCCTCCAACGTTATGAAGAAACATCCCCCCCCCCCCCCCC